ACTCTATAACAACATTAACAAAAAAAAAGAGTATTCTAGGATGCATCATATTGTTGTATGTAGATCTGATTTCACTGAAAGATAGTATAAATCAGTGATGAATAAAAGCCATTAAAGCAAATATCTTACTTTGTACTTTTTATTGTACCGTCTTATTTCATTTAGCTAAGCCACATCAAGCTTTCCATTTCTGTCATACAACTAACATAACTTCACTGATGTCCTGTATAGTATTTTATTGCCTTAATAAGGATATTGTTATTGTTATTATTTCATTGCTAATTGATGTAATGATAGGTTTTATGTTTCAGGTGTATAACCATCCGCTATACGTCCCCCACATCTTACTTGTTTGTAAGACCCAAAGTGAAACTGATGCCAATTGCTCGTAAACTACTTGCATTACTGAAGGACATGAGCCTTGATGACCATCCTGTTTTTTTCCATATGTTCAGTAACAATGGGTCTGTGTTATATTACTACATAACTCAGGCAATGGAAGAAGATGAGGCTCCAAATTTGATGGTTAAAGGATGCATTTTTGACAGTACCCCATCACCGAGGAGACTTTACTCAGGTAAAAGACAATGTCACAACTTGGTTATTCTCCATTGATTTTTTCATGGCAATAGAAAGAGACAAATTAAATTGATTCTTTTGGTATGAAAAGTTTTACATATTTGATTTTTCATAAATTATACATTCTACAGTTCTGGTGTAGATGACAAGTTAAGTAATATATTATGTGAAATGAGTGATTAATCTTTTGATGTTGCAGGTGTGAGAGCGATATATGAGGTAACACCAGGGTCAGTGTGGATGAAGCTCTGTGCATCAGTAGGCATGATGCTGTTCTTGATGGGATGGAGGGTCCTTTCTGTGTTGTGGACTATTATCTCTGGGAAGCTTCCTAATACTCCACCTTGGGCTCTTGTGGAGGTAAATACTTTTAAAATACTAAACATGTTGAAAATGCTGAAGTTGAATGTTCTTAATAAAATCAAGATTTTTCATAGTACAGTGTTACTGATCAGCATAACTTAAGATCGCTTATCTTTCAGGACAAAGCTCGATGCCCACAACTCTTTCTGTATTCACGTGCTGACAAACTTATTAATTACAATGATGTTGAATATTTTGTTGCTGAACGTCAGAAGCTTGGAGTTCCTGTAGTTACAAAATGCTGGGATGATTCTGCTCATGTTCAGCATTACAGGTACGTAGGCAATACTATTAGAGTTTACACTATAAGAAATGTGCTATTCCTTCTTGGTTCTAATACATATGCATATGCTTATAGCCCATTGCCTCTCAGATTTATAACAATGTTTTAAGCAATTCATGATAAGTAATTATAAAATATTATAGCAGATTTTGATATTTATTCTGTACTCAGTATAAAGGAAACATGTGCTTAGAATAGGGCCTTAGCCTCCGGGCTAGTACAGTGTTAATATGTCAGCCTCTCATCTGGGGGTTAGTGGCTCATGTATTGTGCCCTGCCTGGAGGTTACTGCTGTGGTTGGGCACCGTAGTGGGTAAGGCCTAAGCTCAGTTGAGTCAGCTGACACACTAATTGTGTCGGCATTAGTCAGCACAGGCCAGGCTCCCTTCATAGGCATAGCCCAGGTGAGGTTCAGCTTCACACATCTGGCTTATCCTTAACCCAATGTGCGTGGGTGGCAAAACTACAATGCCATGCCCCATGTAATAAGAAATTTATTTATTGCCTCTACACATAGATGACTCTACAATCACTTAGTCACCTAGGAGTCAGCTATTAGTCTTATTTATCCCATCTGTTTACCCTTTTCCTTAATTGTTTGAAATCTTCACTTCTATTATTTTATTGTTTTTCATGTTATTAATGTGTTAATAATAATTGAATAATCATAATAACAATAAGAATGATAACAATGTCAATATTAGTAGTATTGGAAAGAAAAATGCATTTTTCCACCAATTCAAGGAATGGGGAAATCAGGATCGGTCACTAGGGCCAACTGATCGACTCCTTGCTGCTGAGCACACGGGGAACCATCAGTATGTAACAAACTCACTAAAATGTAAAGGGGTCAGTAAATAAACCCACTTACATTGGGTTAATGGGGCCTACTCTAGAATATTATTTTTTGATAGTGAAGGAATTCATTTTCATGGTAAAATGTACAAAGAAAGATTATAAAAGCACTGAATTATTTATTACATGTCACTTGACTCTGTAGGGCATTCATATTTACATAAGGTATTTGGAGACCTCATTCACCATCTTGTTTTTATTTGTTTTTCTTATTATCTCCTTGGTTGTCTTGGCCCACATTCTGCATTTTAGATGTTCTCTAATAAAAATTAAAAATAAACAAGTTATGTTTGGTTTGGTCACCCTGCTGGTTAATAGATTTGTTTATCAGAAGCAAACTAGAGTATTATACATTTCTCAGCTGTATATATCTTGAAAGGTACCCAGACTGCTGTCTGGTAACAATTTAAATGATTTTTAGCTTTCTGTCTCCTCATGAAATGTCATATATGATATTCACATCCAGGTTCTATTGCTCATATAACATTTGCATATCTTGAGGGTGTAAAGCCTGTGCAAGAAGAATTTGCCTTTGTTATTTTTGGCATCTACATTCTGTACTCAGAATGCACTGTTTCCCATGCTTCTGTTGTATACATATATGATAGTTAGCTTGACTTGTTTTGCATAAAGAAAGGTTGTGTCTATACAGATTGTCATTAATGTTATTTTATTTTTTTGGCAGGGTACACCCAGATGCCTACAGTTCCTCAGTTTATTCATTCATCAACATGTGCCTCTCGCCAGATTTCATAAGTAGTAAGATCACTGCTGATGCATCAGAGGATGCTGATAAACAGAAGAGCGATTAGAGAGTAGTCATTACAAGGGTTTTACAGGTCCAGAACAGACACATTACTTAACCCATTGCTGTTAGGGATACCATGATCACTTGATTGTCTTTATACATAGATAGCTCCACAAGTAATTACTAATAATTAGTAAGACCTATCTCACCTCTTTATCCTTTTCCTGGATTTTTGGAGATAATTTCTTTTATCTTGTATTGCTGTTTGTAATGTTAATAACATTATAATGATTATAATGTCTATAATAATAATGACAGCATCAATATTAATAGCTTTAATAAAAAATACATTTTACCACAAACTCTGGGAAAAGTAAAATCAAGTGAGGTCATGAGATTGACTAATTGACTACTTGGTGGCCAAGCACTTGTGGAGCTATCAATGTGTAGATACATTTCACAAAACAATACTACAATAAACATACCTTTTCCTTGCAGCACTGGATAAATGTGTTATACATAATGGCTTTGTGAAGAAGATTAAACTATTGTGTTGAACTATGGGTCACAGTGCTTATGTAAAATATATGATGATACAAAGGTGTTTTATCAGCAAAGCTTTGACCATCTGCTCACTAAATTGCATTTTTAACATGTTCAGGTAGGTTCAGATAGAGGTAAATCTTAAATTGCAAATATATTAGGACAAGGTAGGATATACCAATAGTTCTAAAATTAGTTACTGTGGGCATGGTCCAAAGTAAAATCAAATTTATAGATGCAGTAATTTATTGTCTCTCTTCTGATGGGCAAGTAACATTTGGGATTGAAACTTGTTTATTTTGTTTCTATCAACAGTTATTTGTGGGGCAGAAGAAAATACACTACTGTACCTGTAAACTTATTTAGGATGGAGTGATAGGGTAATGAAAAGGGTTCTGTAGGAAGGATTCTGTAAGTTTAAGGGCCACTGAAAAAAGTTTGAGAACCTACCTTCTACATATATTTTTAAGAGTCATCTAGTGAGAATATTTTTAATTTTTTGATAGAATCTGATAAAAAAATGTGTAATAATCTATGATATCATGAAATACTTACTGAATACTAGGGTGACCTTGAACAATTTTAAAAGTCTGTTAAAGTAGATAGCTCTAAGAACCATCTTGTTCCTTGCTGCTTGAAAATCCTGATGTTTTGGGTTTTGCTAAAGCACATTTTGGCATTTCAAATGCTTGCTTTTATGCACTAGAAAATAAATATTTCTTTATCATATATCAGATACATAGAGCACAAAGTTGCAAAAGTTATCATATTTACCTCTTGCTTGTGAAAATGAGAATTATCATAAATATGTAAATATAACACATATAAAGCAATAGAAACATATTTGTATAATATGAAACTATAGAAAATGTATTTAGATGTATTGGTATGTATTTGTATGTATAGATAATAAAAAAAATAAATATATATCAAGAGGTAACTGTGATACCTAACCAGTTGGATCTGAGTGGGTTGTGGCTCGTGCATGGATTGAAATCAGGGCATTTGGCTTACTTAAGTGGCCACTCTCCTGGGTGCATGGCCTATAGGCCCGGCTCACATGAATACTCATATGTGGGAACAAGACTCCTTGGATTCTTTTTGTAGAGCTAATCCCTCTTTCTGCAGATGTGTGTTTGCTATCTTGCCATTTGCCATTTGCCATTTGTTATGCTATATCAAGATGGTTTTCAATGAGCAGTCTCCATACTTTTCCAGGTACATGTATCTTTGTTCTTTGTTTTGATGAAAAAGAAAAAGAAAGATTATTTATACAATATCAAAACAGCAATAGACTGTTTTTGTTGATCATACTTCATAGTATCTGTTTGTGCAATACAAATAACATCTTGCTGTAGAAGCATAAACAAGGGCCTGGCTGACAGAAATGTGCTGTTACAAAAAAATTAGCTGAAGGCGGCGATAACGAGAATGACTAAGCAGGAGTGCACAGAACTCCTGGGCATTTAGGAAGGGGCTCTTGCATTACTGAATGATTTGCATGAATGTATCATCCATAAGCCATGACTGTAAGAGTGCTGGCTACAGGGAGGATACTATTTCGATGATCAGGATCCTATTCCTGCTTGCATTGACTAATGGTATAAGGTGAGTTACAGAAAATTGAATAATATGAAGATATTAAAAATGACAAAAAGATATTTAAAAAAAAAATTATGGCACAGAGTTGTAGAATACCTAGAAAGAGGATATGGAGTCTGTGCAAGGAGAACAGTCTCTTACCATCTTGATTCAGCATATTGATTTACAAATATAGACCCTGGAAATGGTAATAAGCATAAAAGAGATAATGATATTGCAAAGGGAGGCTGGGAGCTGTGACACTGCAGTTTAGTGGTTGTGCAGTTGGAGGTCTCTCCAGTCAAGTAAGTGAAATGCCTGGATTTTTAACCATGCATGTGCAGTGAGCCACCTAGATCTGACGGGTCAATGAAATACCAGAATGTCCTACTTGTTGACATAGGTAATGAGATTTGCCATCCACAGCATGCACAAAAAATTCAGTTGTTCATTTAGGGAGCAGTAAAACAGTAACTGTTCTCTGATGCCACCCTTAAATCAAAGAATACCGGATTAGGTTTAGGTGGGCAGGAATGAAATAAAATAAAGATAACATTAAGGTTGATATGACAGCACAGATTATCAATTTTATTTTCTTGAGGGAAGAACTGTCTCATTGAACCAATCAAACCTGAAGTTAAAGATATCTTGATACTATTCATAACTTGCTGCGTATATTTGAATCCTCTCCTGAAAATTGTGGTTACACTAGTTTTGTCCGAGGATCCCTTTACAGAGCAAGATATATCCCTGGCTGTGAGGGGGAACTAAGATGTGTATTCTCCCCTCGTGCAGCACTGAGTGGGAACTGTTGTGTTGGTCTTTCACCCTGGCTACAGAACAAAAACTGTAATTACTAGGAAGCTTATTACTTGACTGTCTAAATGGTGATATTATATTATGTTAGCTATAATTATATTGTAAAAATGAAAAATATATGTTGCAACTAACAATGGTACCTCACTAAAATTTTAAAGATTATCCCGACAAACATTAATTTGGTCAATGAATGCAAACACCCACCCACTCCAACACTGAAGACATGGAGCTCATTTTGGAAATTATACCCTCCTGGGCAAAGTGAGAGCCAGAGAACAATTATGGAATACCAGCCACAAATATTATGATAGCAGAAAGTTAGAAATAACAATAATGGATGAAATTGATGGGAAACTTTGCTTTGCACAGGTTATAACAGTATGGCTGGCAAATTGGTGTTATGATAGACAATTAATAATACTTTACTCAGTTTTAATTATAGTATTGATTTCCTCATAACTTTGGTATTAATCAGTCCATTATTGTTTCTCATATATTACTGATTACGCTAATAGTGGTAGTTGGGACAGATAGTCTTCTTTTTTTAAACCTTTCAGTCAATATGTGAGGATATTCATAGAATCCACAACAATCTTTAATGCATAGATTATTGTAGACACTGTGGTCTTTTCTGGGATGATGTTTCTCTACAGGGGACACTGTTTATAGTGTGACCGTCCTGCCCTGTACCTGACAGACATTGAGGATCCCCGGCCATATACGACTAGTGTGACTGTTTCTTTACCAGGGTTATTAATTTAAATAGTTTTGTGAATGTTCACAACATTTTCAAGTGCAGATTTTTGAGACACTCTTTTAAGACTTAATATTAGTAAATGAGGATATTTGTGGAATAAAGTGCAAGATCACCTAGATGACTATTGGATATTTTCATTTAATTAATGCTTAATCAATTATGATCATGTGAATACATGAAGGCAATCCACGTACTGTCTAAAGTCAACCCCTGAAAAAAATGGTGTACTACAGTTGCTAGTAATGTAAGATGATTTCATGCTTGATTACTTTTGTTTCTTTAATATGTCAAACATTTTTTCAAGAGCCCTTACAAAACCTCCAGAAGTTTTGGAGGGTTATTAAAACTTTTTTTTACATACAACATTTTTTGCTAGCACTGCGAGTATCAGAGGTTGTACAGGCTTACACAAAAACCCTATTCTTCATTATGTTCTCACTTTTTTCATTGCGCATACAATGTTCTGAGATTTCACATATTTACAGTGTGTGATGGAAGTTGCCCCAGTTTATGGTAATACTTTTTATTGACCTTTGAATGTAATTTTTTTTTGCTGGACATCCTAAAATAATAGAGAAAGCAATTTAGGTTTTAAATGAAGTAATGGAATTGCAGAGATTGTCACATAAACTTAGTCACTATATGCAACATTGGCAGAGAAGCTACATTAAGGAGCTGATTAGTTCATATACAATGTTCTTATTGCTATCTATTTGTTCACACTGGTTATATTCACTTTTGGTATCATTTGTGTCTGTCTTTCTGAGTATATGAAAGGCTGGATTTCCTTTTTTTCTGTAGCATTTATTTAAATAAATGTGCTATAGTTTGCTCCAGAAAGCCTGGAAAATGCTTAATAAATACAGAAAATTCTTACTGGGGTAAGCTACCCTACTCCTCCCACCACACCCTCTGATTTCAGTGTTTGGAACCCCCTGCTCCTCCCCCACCCATTTGAAGCATCCTGATTCT